GAACAGTTTACAACTCGTACTCATTTTCACGCCGTCTCAGTGCTTTAATTTCCACTTCCGTCAAAACCCCACATCTTTCTCCCCACAGCTTTTGCCCCCTCATCTTTCTGTCCATCCCTCCTCACCAGCAGCCTGCAAGCATTCTGCCCCCTTGTTCCATGTAACACACACTGCCTTTAGACACAGCACACTAACACACACACACACACACACACAGAGCGCTGCCCCCTGTCGTCCAGGGCAGTGCTGTAAGCCTGTGGAGCAGATGGGCTCAGGGCTGACTGACTGAGCTGTGCTCTGACAAACTGTCTCTCTGTACAGTGTTGCTCAGATGAGGGGATGATGTCCTTTGCACGGGCGCTAATCTAAATCTGGCCGCCCACCGACTTGCCAATGTAGAAGCTGGCAACCGGTCGGAAAAATCTGGCATCTCAAGCGCTTCAGCACAGACAACCCAGAGACGTTTTGATACAGTATAGCCATCAGTTTTACTGTTTCCAGGATGGCAGAGCTTCTCTCTCTGTTAATGAAAATATTGGATGGAAGAATTCTCACCCTGTCTTGGAGAGAGGAAGTCCATTTGTTTGGGGAACTATTTCATGGCAGGAAATGTGTTAACTGGCTAATATTGTTGGAATTGAAATGGATGAAATCTTCATTCAGTGAGTTTTTTTTAACAGTTAAATATTAAGACAGGTCCTTTACAGAAGGCAAAAAGAGCGACGTGTGACTGTTTAAAGACTGACAGGATGATGAAGTACTATATATTAGATGTGACAGTCCCCATTAGAGTTCACCCAATTTCATTTTTTGAGAATCAAAAATTGATCCCAGTACTTTATATTTCTTCCTCCTATTTTGTTTAATTCCTTTAAACCCTCCCAAACACCTGTCCCTCTGTACCAGCACCAATTAGCAGTGGTGGACAGAAGCTATGTGCTGTATTTAAATCTACTACAGGGAACTCTCCTTTTGTGTTGATTTTGGCGCTCCCTGTGAACGAAGGTGGTAGTGTTTCCCAGCACCAGATTCCCTTTCCCAGCAGAAAACCTCTCATGTTACTGCAGCAGGGTCTGACAGTCTGCTCCGCTCAGTAGACCTGGTGAACCTGTATGAGATAATCTGATTGTCAGTGGCACCGATGACAAGCATTAGGAATGACTAAATAGAAATAGCCAATATATTCGCTGATGGTCTCGTTTACTTATGTAGGTCACACAGAGCCATCAGTATTAAATTGAGACAACAAGTTCAAAGTTCCTCACAATAATTTTAAGTATGCACATTACTTGAATATTTCTATTTCATGCTGCTACTTTACTTCTACTCCACGTTTCAGAGGGAAATATTGTACTTTTTACTTCACTACATGTATTTGATAGCAGCAGGAATTAGTTACTTTTCCAATTAGGACTTTGCATTAAATATATATGTACATGATAGGCTTATACAATACAATAAAGCTAAGTATATTTTTCATTCATGTAAAAAAAAAATCACATTTAGGAAAAATCTCAGGCTGGAAATAAGTTGTCACTCTCTGATTCATGAGCATCATGAAGAACAAAATTGTCAACATAGTTTCAGGTATGGTTCTGGGAAACATTACTTGACATCCAGACAGACCTTTTCATCACATCTCCAATGCTTTCTGTCAGACTCTGGGACTGACAAATAAATCCTCGCAACATCCCCACACGCTGTATGAAAACGTCAGAGAGTGATGCAACGCTTGTATTGCGTGTTATCACCCTCTTCTGGTCAGTAGCGTGAACTGCCTGTGGCTCTGAGGTAGCGGTGGCTGAGAGAACGAGTAAGGTCATGAATTGGAGACGGTGCCAAACACCCCTTTTCCCACTTGAAGAGCAGATGGCAGCTCCCCCCAGTGCACAAAGCAGGGAGATGCTACCACCAGATGCTCTAAGCAGGGTGTAAAACACACCCAAACACAGACACATTAACATTCTTGTTTGCACTATTGTCTATGAGCACTGTACACACAGGCTGAGATGCACTTGTCTCTCCAGGCTAATGAATGCAGAGGCTTGACCTGAATTACTTGAAGCTTCACATATGGGTCTCTTGACCTCTATTATTAAAACTTTGCAGTGATACTGTGGTAGGTTGGTGTCAAATCTAGTAAAATTACTGGTGATAAAAGATGCATAAATATATGCTGGCAGGCTTAATGAAAACTGTATTACCTGCAACAACTGGGACCACACCCATCTTTGAACTTGGCCTTCATTTTGATCTCAACTACACAGCTGTAAACTGCATCTTGCACGGTTGGGATGCTATCGCGGTGAAACAATCAGTCCACTGACAGACAGACATTAACACCTGGCAAAGTACTCAAAACCACCTCTGTGGTAGTTCCCGCTGCAGTAGGTTTCTCCAGGACCACATTTTGCATATTCAATGATAACCATGTCGCATACTGTCACGGCTGGTAATCGCTGAGTATGCCTTTAATGACCTATGACTTAGCATCTTAATCAGCTCATAGTCAGTGCTTTATTAAAGCCTATGCACTGGAAATGTCAACCACTTAATAATATAGAAAATGTCAACTATAAGACAAGTCTGCTATATATTTTTCTGCTACAAATCTGTAATTAGAGGGATTGAGATCCAGGCCATTTCTAGGTCATGGTCTTTAATATACAAAACAGACACATATTTCTCTTTTACTTGTATCTTACTTGTGTTTAGTATAGTTACCTACAATTATTGAGCATTTACCAAAAAAACGCTAATATTTTGTGAATGTGCTAAAGTGTTCAAAACTTTTGACTGGCAGGGTACAGTTTACAATCCCGCCTGCATTAATAATGTAGCTATCACTGTCAGTTCGAGGCGTGCTGGTTGACACATTGAGGAGGGTACGCTAAGCTCAGCTGAGTGGCGTGTCGCAGCGGGATATGAGGCAGTTAGTTAATGTGGTGTAAAAGGATTTAGAGGATTTGACCCTATCAGCAGAGATGGCACTCAGAGAGGCTCTGTTAATGACACTAAATGAGTCTGTGCCTGCAGCATGCTAATAATGGTGGCATGAAAGCCAGGCTTATAATTTATATGGAGGTTTTTTTTTTGTTTTTTTTTTTGCAAATAGCTAATTGCTAGAAGTGCTTTAAAGTAATATGTGTGTGCACATACAGTATTATGTAAAGGCAAGGTAACACACTTCATTTCAGTGCCTTCTCTGAAACAATCACAACAACTCACATTGTGCTTTTAATCTTTCTGGTATGTTTGCAATAAGAGTCCATACAATAAGAGCACTTGGCCAGCGTCAAGGCGGTGAAGTCATGGTTCGACTGCCGGCCAACGGGACACCTCACAGCAAACAGTGCAAGTCTGCAGTTGTGCGAAGCAGCTGAAAAATGATTGAATTCAAGATGTCGTTGGCCAGCCTGGCTGACTTCCTCTTGATAAATTAAGAATAAATGTACCGTGCTGAGGATGAAATTGAGTTTTTAACCACTCTGTTAGTTTTCTTCACATTTGCTGGAACTCTGCAGGGGCTCTAATGACTAGATGCATCGTTCATCTTTCAATCTAAATCTAACATCCTCCATGCTCTGTCGCTATACACACTATAAACTAGTATTTATCGATCTTGGAGAGGAATTTGATGGGATGGCAAGGAATGATTTGAATATTAGATATTTGAATATTAGATATTTTGAGTTATACGGGCTGATTTAAACATTCAGCTGCAGCTGCCAATACTAAAGACAAATGGATTCGGGAAAGTCTGCGTTTTTCAAACCTGTAGACCCGAAGCAGAACAATAATCTTTTAAACTGCATTCACTGAACTACACCAACAGAGATAAGAAAGGAGCATCCATACTGTTTTCAATAATGGTATCTGCCTCGACATGCAGGGATCCTTTAGTCCAGAATGATTAAAAAAACAAATATTGCTGTACTTCATTTATTCATATTAAGGAATAGTGATCTTTTTGCTCAAAATGTAAGCATAAGACCAACTCTGTTTGAATGCTCCCCGGCATTCTTTTACAGACAAATTTGTTTTTCTGTTGGTGATTATTCCACACTGGATAAGGAGCCACTCATAAATATATGCATATTTCAATGCATGAATACTACAATAATCTCCATCACAGTCACTTTCGTTTTCCATGCCTGAAGGACCATCATTGCCGCCTTGCCAGGCAGGGCATTGGCACAGCTTGACTGATAGGACAAAGAGGTGTAGCCGCCAACTCCTGCAACTCAAATCCTCTTTTCTGGTTTCACTATGACAGTCTGCCCCGCCGTCCTTGGCTCGCCATGCAAAGATAGGACGGGAGCTCAGTGACCAGTGCCAGGGATACCCACTAGAGGTGGGAGGAAGAGAGAGAGAGAGATAAACAGATGGAATAATGGGCAGAGAAAGAGCTACAAGCTGAAAGAAAGGGTTCTCCCAGAGATTAGGTTGTTCTGTATCACAGCTAACCTGTAGGATGTGCTGAGAGTCAGCAGGTCTATTATTGAGGCTTTCTTTAAAGGGCAAACGGTTCAATATCCAATGCTAGACCAACACAACATTTCATTTTTAATTAATCTACATGAATGGAAATGTTTCTGCTGTGTGGATTCGTTTTCTTTTACTGAATGTGATTAGACCGAAAAGAGCAGATATTTGTTTACTGACTGCTGGCATACACTGTAGCCCCACATAGCTGCGGAGGTGTCTAGAGTTGCAGATGACTGCCAGCAATTGTTCTTTTTCTCATAATGTATGCCCTAGCCCCCTGGCTATTGCTCGTCATTGTTCCACACGTTGTTTTTCCATTCAATTCCAGCATTTTAACAGTGATGTTCTCTGTGGGAGGCAATGGAAAGCTGGCTCATTCGCTGCACAGTGTTTCCCTTACAGCTAGCACATACGTGGGCGTGTTTGTGTGGCTGAGTCTGAATCTGAATGTCTGTATTAACCAGCTCTATATTAAACCTCTTCCGCCTCTCGTGTGTCTTTCTATCCTCTAGGAATCACCTTCAAGGTAATCAGTCATCTCTATTTGGCCTGGGGGTCTTCTAGAAGGTCGGACCTCCTCGCCACCATGAAAGGGTTGGGTACCAACCGTAACAGACATCTGTCTGATTCCTGTGAACCTTCCTCCGGCCGTCCAGAGGCCCTCTACTCTCAGAAGACCAGCACGCTCCCACGCAGCCAATACCTGCTGAGCCCGACAATGGACCACTATGGCACCATGGACCCCCATCTCTATCCTTCAGCCAACCCAGGCTCCCTTCCACCAGACTGCATGCTGCCCCTCAATAACCAGCTGTCCAACAGCAGCACCTTCCCCAGGATTCACTACAACTCCTACGACCAGTCTGACTTCTCCCCACCTGGAGACAGCATCGGGGGGATAAGTACAGGGACCATGGGCACGTCCATGTCCATGGGCATGGGAACAGGTATGGGCATGGGCATGGGCGTGGCAGGGCATGGCAGGGCACCTATGATTACGAGTGGCTCAGCAACTATATCACATCATATGACCAAGAACCAGGCACCATCCAGTCTGCTGGAGTTTGATAAGCAGCTACCTGGAGGCCGTGACGGATTCAGCACGTTGCAGTTTCATCGAACGTCTGCTGTTGCTGCTGTAAAGCAGCACACAGACAGTCCTGGCCGGATCCGTTACATGCTGCATTCAGTGCAGAAACTCTTTGCTAAGTCCCAGTCACTGGAAAGCCAAAACATGAAAGGAAATTTCAATGGACGCTCCACTGGTAGTGGAGGAGGCTCGTCTGGCACTGAAGATGGAGGAAAGCAGAATCGCAGATCCAAAAGTAAAGATCGGGGTACAAAATCAGAGACGACTGCCAAGCGACGACCACGCTCCAACATGTCAGGCTATTGGAGCTCAGACGATTTGGACAGCAGCGATTTGAGCAGCTACCATAACACCATGGCCATGATGACTCTGGGGCATCCAACTGGCCATGACAGTCAGGGGGCGCAGACCAGATACATCCAAAGTGGCTACAACACTATCAGCTCCTCCAAAAGCAGCAATGACATGAAGTATCAGGCACTTATTGGGCCTGTGGGTGGAGGAGGTCGTGGACTAGGTGGAGCGGGAAGAATGGTGATAAATGATAATGACTATATGAAAGGAGGGTCCTGGTCCGCACTGACCATGGGCCAGCCGAGACCGGTGATCCAGAAGGGCTCAGCTACTCTGGACAGATCCATGCTCAAGTCCAAATCCTGCCAACCTGAACTAACTTGCAACTACCTGCAGGTTGGACGAAGGGTGAGTAGGCTTGAAGTGAATGTAGTGCTTGATAAAAGTTGTATTTACAGAGGATTTACTTTTTACATGTAGGTTGACAAATATCAAGCTATGCTAACTATCAACAGCTATAAGACAGTGATAAAGGGCTGACATTGATTGTTAAAGACACATTTTATCCACTTGATGCTGTCTGTAGGGTGATGATTGGAGTAGCACATTAGGCCGCAGCGGAGGTGCCAATGAAATCCCATGTCGGCGGATGCGCAGTGGTAGCTACGTGAAGGCCATGGGAGACATGGAAGACAGCGACGACTCGGAGGGAAGCCCCAAACCCTCGCCAAAATCCGCCGCTCGTCGCCAGAGCTACCTCAGGGCTACGCAGCAGTCTCTGAGCGACCAGCTACCCCCACGCAAGTAAGACAACAGACTGAGACACAGAGCTGTGCTTTATTAATGCAGTACATATTCAAATTCAAAACACCAGATTGCAACCCGCCATCAGCAGGGTACATGTCTGTTAAAAAAAAAGACTAACATGAGACAGTTGATTAGCACATCCTCTCAACAATCAAAAGAAAATAAATAAGCCACCCTTTTCTGGACGTACAGGAAGGAAACTACCACGCCCAGCCTCACCATGACAGTATGCAGGAAAATACAAATGCATGCAACAAGCACACACAAGCACACACACACACTCCACGCTGCGCTAACTCATGCATAGAATTCGGTGGTGTCACACTCCCTGTTGTCCCCCACATGCCAGCCTTACTACCATACCTCAGCTGTGATTTACCTTCCTATTGTTGGACCCACAAAGAACCAGTCTAGCTAAGAGGACACAGACAACATTGGTGTAGTTTACATAATATGACGCTGGCATTTGTTTCCACTGAACCAGTAAATCACCACAAATCAGCCTCATTTCTCGGACTGACTGGCATTGCGCCTCACTTGTCTTTAAATTACATGCTCTCTGAAGCAGACATATTGCACAATATGTGATGCAGGCGCAGCGGGACAATGCTGAGTTGACTGTGCCTTTCCAGAAAATGACAGAAAATGCATTCACATTCTTTTTATTTGCATCTAAGGCAATGTTGAGCAAATGTAAACGAGACAGAACTGTCATGTTTTGTAATGTCGAGGAACAATCACGACGCCCTGAAGTTACAAAAGGTTTTGTCAGCAGTTCCATCTGCTGTCTAATAGAAATTGTTTCTATGTTTCTATTTGAAATAACTGTCTGCAGGGTTTGCTAAAGACATTTAAGGAATGTTTATCAAGATAAGATATCAAATAAAACCTTTTTAAAACGTATTATTCAATACATTGTTGTCTACTGCCATAGATTGTCATGCTTTGGCATACTCAACAATATTTTGGATATGTTTTTAGATTTATTTCTTTTATAGTCAGCATAAGTGAATTGAGGTATGCTTTCAATTTTCATCAGCACGCGTGTATATTATAATCGACTTTCGGTATTCACCAAGGTAACTCCAGAGATTGAAAACTTCAAGACAATATCTTTGTGACAATACCTTCTATGAAGCAGCTCTTGTTTTTGTTTTCAGTGTGGTCCTCAAGTTTGGAGGTTGCAGTGTCAAAATATCAGTGCCGCACTATATGCAAACACTTTAACAGCGGGCGCATTTCTGGTTGGATCAAAGGAGTATTGATGTAAGATTTCATTCACCCGAAACAAGAAGGCATCATCCTGAGAAACCCAACCACAGGCCGACCTGACATCCTCACCTCCACTTACATAAAAGGATTTCAAGTCCGTTTAAAGTCTATGTTTAGAAAATGAAGGATTTATTCTTCCCTAAAGCGTGCTTGAATGACTAACCCTACTCCCCCTGCCGATCCCTGACCACCCAACCCCCACTCTCTTTCGCTCTGCTCCACCCTGATTGGCTTGAGCAGCAGAACCCTGGATTACACCTCTTTGCAGGGGGAGCTGGATGCCCTGTGGTCTCCCCTCCACAGTGTGTCCTCTCTGCACCAGCTGGGCAGGTCAATGAGCAGGTCAGTGATAGGTCTGTAAGCCACGTCTCAGGAGCGTGGTGCAAAACGCTTTTGTCTCATTGGATCATTTACAACCAATGGCTTTGCACTGCCCCTCTCAGATGCCTGTAAAGTCAGTGGCAACTCCAAATGCCAATTCATGCCCTGCTGCTAACAACTGCCAACCTCCCTTAAGCTTGTAAATACCATCTGCCCGGTGCTTTTAGCAGAAAAGTAGCTGAGTGTGACTCTATTCCAATTGGGGAATGAGGGGACATCAGTGTCCATACGCCATGTCATGGCAGCTTACTGTCATGTTACTATCACTGTGTGCCAACAAGGAATATGTAAATAATGTGACTTTAGAGCTGCAGTTTGATTAAACTTAAAACCTGTTCTTTGTCTTTGGCACCATGATGGCACAGAGGGCTGTATACATACGTCGCCTGAAAGTCCCTGGCTTTGCATGCCCAGAGGCTACAATGACGGATGCCAAAATGAGATGAAATTGAAACAGATTTAGGATTTGGATTCACGATGACTCATAAATGAAAGTGGAAATAAAAGGGGGTAACTTGAATGACAACCTTATCCTCCTTTTATCTCTCTTTCAATTTTTTGGTTTTGCTGATCATTCATTTTCTCCCCCAATCCATGTTTCCCTTCTGCCTCCCTGTCATCAACTGTCTTTTCCCTGGACGTGTCCTCATGCACTCCTGACATCGCGTTTCATTTTCCTCCTTATATTTCATATCCCTAACACATCTCCTTTGTCTTGTCTTACCTCTCACCTTACCCCTCTTCCTAGCTGTCTTCCATCTCTCAGAGAGCTCTCCAATAATCGCAGCCTGGACAACCTAGACTGCATTGAGGGTACCGTCTCATCTTCGCCACACTGGGATGACGATGACTTCAGCCAGGCCTGCAGCACCTTGGGCAGACGTAGCTGCTTGGGACAGGTCAGTGCTTGCCTGGACAGGACAGACAGGTGTTGCATTAGGTGTGAGCTGTCAAGAGGCTAAATACGAAATCTGTTTCTCTCTGTCTGTTTGTGCCTCTCTTTTACTCTCAGATATGTTTCTAATGAGTTGAGAATAGATTTGTACTTGCTTGAAATGTGCATGTCTTGGCTCCAAGCAAACTCTCTACTTTCAAATCAACAGTCGGTTTCAAAGACCCCTTTGTCTGCCTTGAGCTACTAACACGTATTTCCGTGGAATAATTTGCATTTTCACAGATAAAGCTTGAATGACAGTAATAAAATGGGCTTCCTCTGAACACAGAATCCCTATTTTCCAAATGTATCTCGTACAAATTAATGAAATTGGTAGCTTTAAGTCTAATTTATCCACTCGCATAAGAGCTATTAGCCTCCCACTGACAAGGTCACTAAGATGATGAACAACTATGCGGAGTGGCTCTGATCTTTTTCAATGAACTAGTCAAATGAGGCAGTGCAGGCTATTAGTATGGGATTTACATCCAATCTCTTGAGAGGCCACCACATTACAACAAATGTGTCCAATATAGGAATGTATTGTTTGGATTTGCATGCACAGCAGCGTGCCGAAACATTTAATATGCATTATAATTTAGATTGGTTGAGGTCAAGTTGTATAACTTGGAACGTTTTCCAAAACAAAAATGAATTCAGAACAGGGAGCTTAATCAGAACAAGTGGAAATCACCCAAACCCAAAATGTAACATAACTCCAAAATGTGTGTATGTGTATCTTCTCTGCTTCATTTTGTTTTGTGCTGCCTCTCCTGCACTCACCCCCTTATATGCCTCTGTTACCAGTCAATGAACCATCATAATAACTTTGCTTCTAACACATTTTTAACTCCTACTCGGGCATTTCTGTCAATGAACAGAATATCAAACCCATCATCTGCAGGGCTGGTTCTTACTCTTCAAAAGAAGTCTCAGAAAGAGCATGCAGTTGTTGTAGAACACTTTTCAAAGTGATGCCTCTTTGCCTTGGCATTTCTTTTGTATTCTGTAAATTGACAGGTCTTACATAGCTGGCCATGCAAGAAATGTCAAAGAAATGATAATGCATTTCACAGATGAAATGACAGCTCATCCAGAAACCCAGCATGTGGAGGAGTAACACTAGTTTCACAGGGGTTGAAGAGCACTGTGCTCTGCACCACCTAGCACTAATTGTACCTCATTGTACCTGGTTACCTTTAAACTTTTAACTCTTGGCTCCATTTCATTTCATCCCATCAGATGCGTCTCACAAATGAAAAATGCCCTTTACAGAAACAGTCAGCTGGGCAGTTAGTGGTCACCTCCAGTGCTGGGAACGGCTCAAAATGACCCAACTCATGCACGGCTGTTCTCCTTGCCACACTACTGCTACTGTCTGTGCTAATCTTGCCCTTTTGCTTTTATCCAGCTACGGGACCTGGAAATGAGTCATCAGTATGAGGACCGCAGCTCCGAGTCCACATTCAGAGATTCCCGTTCCCACTCTCAGGACAACCCAGAGCCTCTAGACTTGCCCATGCCGACATGCTTCCGATCCCGCAGCCACAGCTACCTGAGAGCCATCCAGGCTGGCTGTTCCCAAGATGACGACACAGCATCCATAGACTCAGGCTGCTCACCGCCTCCTATTGACACCACTGTTCGCAGCTACAGCACCAGCACTGGTGAGTCACTGTCTGAAAAGACAAATGATAGATTTGCTGCAAATGTATTTATTTGAATTCATAAACCATATGAAGTGGTTTCCTGGAGTTCTTACCATGATGCAGTGATATGTGTTACCAAAACTGTGATCTATGTATATGTATAGTGCAAATCTGTTTTGGTTATTTATTTGGTTTAAGCTTTAATGATTTTTTTTGCAATTGTGACCCCTATTCCAGAGGGGCACATGGGCCAAATTATTGGCTTCATTTGTATTTCCCATAACATTACTTTGACTGCTCTTCATAGCCTTGATCCTGGATGGGACACTAGTCCTCCAACAGGCACGCCCCAGCATATTAGCTCAAATGCAGCCTCTTTTGCCCATGCTAGACGACCTTTCTACACAATGGAAGACATGGAAAGAGCAGTTTGGCTCTTACCTGATAGCCACTGGCTTGGACAAAGCCCCAAAGGAGAAACAGCTTGCAATTTTTCTTCAGCGTTTTGGGACAGACAGACAACGCATCGTACCCCCACACACAGGTAATAAATTCTAACCAGCTCATCTGCCCTAATTCTTCTTTTTTTAAATCAATGTACCACTTCAAGGACTACACAAGAAAAAGCAACAATTAGAACTCACTATCAAGACAAACTTGATCAATAAAGAGACGCTAGTGGAGCTTTGGTTGTCATTGAAATTGATTACAGGACTTAGCAGTACAAGAAGGCCCTGTGCAATCTGCTTTTGACTTTGATGTTGAATTCGCTATAGCAAAGGAATAGTGAATGTGTCAATGCTATTAGGGGCTGGATGGCAGAAGATTGTTTACGACTCACGACGGAGGTTGTGGTTATTGCACCAGATGAAGTTATCCCTAAGATCAAGCATATTATTGGTCCATTCTCACATCACCCCCATACTCAGATCTCTTCACTGGCTCCCTGTAGCATATAGGATCCACTCTGACTTACAGAGTGAGACTACACTGTCAGACTCCTGCATATGTGGCTGAACTACTTCCCTTTTTACCAGCCCGCGCTCTCAGATCACACTTGTTAAATTTTCTGTCCGTCCCACGCGCTTGCCTTAAGGCCCGGGGTGACCCAGCTTTTGATGCAGTAGCACCAAAGCCGTGGAACGCTCTGCCTGCAGCCCTACGGTTTGCTGATTCAGTGAATTCATTTAAAAATCAGCTCAAGACACACCTGTTTAGACTTGCATTTGGGTAAAACTCATGCTCTAGGTCTGCTTTTACGTTTTTATTGTGTATTTCACTGTTTATTGTGCCTTCTTAAATACATTTCATGTTTTAAAAACGGCCCTTGGTTTTTAATTATTGGCCCCTGTATGGTCACATTGTGTTATTTATGTTTGTGACCCTTTTTTTGTGAAAAGCGCTCTATAAATATATTTTACTTACTTACTTACTTATTACTGACTGCACCCCGTGTTCATAAAATAACGTGGATATTATGAACATCTGCTTGGTTGAGTATTACCGCGGAGTCCCCACCACGTGGCGCTCTTCCCCATAGTCAAATAGACTTTAGAGGATATGCTGCCTTCAGGATGGTAGAACGTTTCAGTTTCCATTCTGATATTGCTGGAGATCTACAGGATAGTCTGAATTGTTGTTCCGTGTGGTGTAGTACACACTTAATTATTCGTCCTAAGTAGGAATAATACTGAATGTTGTTGGTTCTTTGTGATTCATCAAAGAACATAGAAGCTTTTTTGCAACATGTAATAAAACTGTCCCCATGGAGAAAACTATACTACGGGGGTACTACAGTACCTACAGTATCCACGTTGTTATTCAATTGCCTCATCAAAAGTTCATCAAAAGCACCTGAAGTGCACCATACTCACTTTAAAGTAAAATAGTCAGACCGTGGAGCTGGAATGTCCAAGGCGGCCCTGGAGGCATCAGTAGACACGCCACCACGCCTCCCTCGGGCTCAGTGACAAACAAAGGCAACGAAAGCCGGCGTGTCAGCTCCACAGCCTGGACAAGAGGCGGTGGATGTCAGCTCCGGTTACAGGCGCCCGGTAAATAATTAGTCTTCACTCAACACACCGCTGTGCTGTAAACTTGTTACTGTGCCTGATAGCAGGGTAAGTATTTTTTAACCGTTGTTGTTATAGAGTTTAACGCTAATTGTGTTGTGCACAGTGTGTTTTCCGTTACAAACGACAAGTAGACTACTAGCTCCAGATGCATGCACATTTCGACCATTAAGCAAAGCTAAAAAATAAAAGTGTGCAGGATATGAGGAGAGTCATCTATCATCAGTTTGATATCTGCAATCTCTGAGAGTAATATCTGTCTGTCTGTCTCCACAACTGCCTCCATCGTTGACATGTTTTTATGATCTCTCATACTTCCAGTGCTGCTGTCTGATGCACTCTTTACTTTATTTATTATCGAGTGTCCCATGTGTTCAGTACAAAGTGCTGTGTTGCTGATGCCAGAAAAAAAAGCATGTACCCACTATGTGTGCACTCTGTGATGCTACACCATGGGAGTCAGATAAGTGGGGTGCTGTTAAAACTGTTTGAGGATGTTATAGTATTATTATTATTATTATTACCACAGTCGATTACTACACCTAATAAAAGCTGCTTCTTTTCAGTTGCTGAAATGGAAAATTGGTTTTCACGGGGGATTATTTGAGGGCTGCTCCACTTTGGTCCCACACGGTGTCCTGTGTCTTGCAACATGGATTAAAATCCCATTTTGAGGTCACATTTAATATAAAGAGTGTACGGATTTGTAGCTGTGTTGTTGTTGAAAACATTTTAATGTGATAATTCATTTGGAATAATAATGGCTTCGCTCAGAAGGGAGCCCGGATAGTTTCAGGCAAGGCTGTGTGACTGTTTAATTGATTAAACAATACAGATGGGTCGACTGGCGGGCAGCAGGCGGCTTTGGCAAGCAGTACTAAACCGTTAAATAGAGCATCACAAGCCACCCTTTGTCTTTTGTTGTCCCTGGTTCTTGTCCAGCTCCAACTGACCACAAAACAGCGTCCCCTAAACCAATCTGCTTAAAATGTAGATTGTTGCTGTTGAATAGTTCACCAGGCTTTATAACATTAGAGAAAGCTAGACCAAAACTGTCATCCTGAGTGTCTCATCTGCCCCGCAACATTTGAGATGTTGGACTGTATTACATAATGAAGAAGAGGGGGAAGAGATTGGATCAGGGCTCGTCAGTGAAATGATGCATTCTGTCACGTGACCAATGAGGGCATGAATCCATTAACGTGAACAAAGATAAACATTTCAGACCCAAGTTTGCTAACTGAATTATGGCTAAAAGCCCTAAATGCTTTCATTTCATCTATGTTAATAAGAACAGTCTTACCACATGTTGCCACTTTGCAACATTCCTGACAATTTAACATAGACATTCTGTAATAATTAGGCATAATATTTTAAAACCTCATTTTGACTTTCAGGGTCTAAAAAGATGTTTCGCTTCACCAACAACATTGCGGGCAGTGTGGTTGGTTAATTACCTCTCCACAGCAAAGGTGGTAGAATGCTATTAACAGGGAGGAGATCACTGTGTGGGTTGTAGCTCATAGAGGGTTGACTGAAGTGTGTGAGTATTAAGCCAGGATATAATCTGTTAGTGTGCAGAGGGTTGGTTACACTGGTGAGAGGAAACAGTTTTTAGCGGCTGTAGCTTCATGCAGCTAGCCTACAGTTGTTTTCCGGCCTTTGAAAATCCCGTCTGGAACCAGGGCTCGCTGTGGACAGCAAAACCACTGTCCAAATGGCATGAAGACAGCAGTGCTCAGTGCCCACTCAAGATTCCACTCCAACATTTTGGCACAAAGCATCTGCTTGTCTCTGTTGTTAAATTCCCTTCTGTAGAGCAACCATTAGTTCTACTTAGCAGCTCCTGCAGACAGTGGCTCTAAGCTATCATCTCTTGGCTTCACTTTAAGTTCTGTTGATACCTTCATTTTTTTAGTTTTGGACATTATTCAATTACTAATTACTCACCCGTTTCACAGCTGAGATCTGGGATGTGGCATAGCCAGTAGCTAACAGCCATCGTACAGTATGTTCAGTGGAACGATGTGGTCAAACTCAAAACCTGTTTGATCCCTTGTGTGGTTGTCCTGTGCATGCAATTGTTAAGCTGTGTCTTAGTAGAATCACAAAAACATAATCGCATAATAACGAGGTGCACCTTGTATTGAGTCTGAGTCCTTACCAGAGCAGACTGGGTTTGAATCTGACCCCCCTCTCGCTCCCCCTTTTCTATCTAATATCTTCCAAAAAAAGCCCATTAAATAATGTTTTTTTTTCTTTTTAAATGACAATGCTAATGATAATTTTTAGCATGTTCCTAATCTTAAGTAGCATTTCCTAATTGGCATCAAACACAACGTACAGCTGAGGATGATTGGATTGTCTAGGTGTCTTAAGTCATACACTAAAGTATTGGTACATTTTAACCCGATGACAGAGGTATGTAGAAAGTCCGGGGATAACCAAAGTTGTTACAAATGATCCTGAAGGGGGCATGAATGTCTGTACCGAATCCCACGGCAATCTGTCGTGGGGAAGCTACTGTATGTGATGACAACACCGTTTCCAAAATAAAGTACATCATCTTTGGCATTCCTGTACTGCCGTTTCTTGTTACTTATTGGCCGACATGTGGCATTTGTCATGAGCTAAAGTCGGCTGAAAACATTTGCCCGGCCCATTTATTGTGTCCGGCTCTACTACTTTATCTCCTGTCTAATCTCGGAGGCAGCTGTCAGTTATGATTTTAGGGCTTGTTTTGGTGAGCCAAGCAGATTCTGTGGTATTAAGACTTAAGGGTGAATTCTGTTCGGAGTGACGAAAGCATGATGTGACACTTGGAGAACTGCAGGGCACACACACACACACACATATATACAGTATGTGTGTGTATACACACACATCTATGCCCTCTCACACCCAGTTAGTGAAAATGACAGTCCTGCAGACTGGGCTGCAGGTGTGCAGCTGGTGCCGCATCAGCGACAATCCCATTCTGCCCAACATCTATCTCTGTCAGGAGAGGAAACATGGACAGTGAAAAAAGCTGTCTCAGCAGGTTTTCCTAAGGCAAAGAGAGTGGTCAGAGGCCAGTGGATAATCCATGGCGATAGGTGCATGTAGGCTACCGCTTAGCTATGGCGGATGCTAAACTGCAGGTCTCCAAAAATAGCTTTGTGAGAGTGGATTTCAGCCTTTCAACTTGCCAAGAGTGGGCAAGATGTGTTCTGAAATGATGATGGCTCTGGATATCAGTAAGATGCTGTGGTTGACACATCTATTTATCTATCTTGTGGATGTCGGGGACCACAGATCTGACTTTCAGACTGGGTTCCATCTTTAAAATGGGGAGCTGAGGGTGTGTTCCAACAATTTAAATCATCACAACAAGCGAGTGATGTTCGTATTGTCAGCTTATTATTTACAATAAGGGCTGGGTGTGTGTGTGTGTGTGTGTGTCGGTCTGTTTTTTTTGTGATGTACGTGTGTGTGTGGGATGTGAAGGCACAGCAAAGGTCTGGAGATGGTCCAAAATGGGTCCAATTTGGGTGTTGTCTCTGTTGTTTACAGAAGGTGTCGGTGTTTTAATTGATTGATATTTATTGTCATTCTGGGTTGGGTAGGTTTATTTTGTTGGTGTGTTTTAAACAGTCTGAGTCATCAAAGGGACAACCCGAACTATGCTAAAGAAGCTCTTGGGCGGAGGACCAGGTGGAGCTTGGACCCGGGGATGTAGTTCAGGCGGATGCAGTTCTTTGGAATAGTTTGACTGACTGCAGCTCGTTGTTGTGGGAGGTCGTATGAGTTCTGTGATAGGTGAGGTTGCATGAACATTAGAGATAAAGCTAAGAAGCAGATTACAATAAACAACAACCCTTTTGTTGAGGTGTTTTCTCAGCCGCTCACATGTTTGCTGCAAAGGCTGTTTGTTGCAACACGAGGCATTCACAATGTTTGCTTCATGCTGTGCCTCATCAGATGCTGTCAAGTCGTTTCCTTTTGGATGTCGCCGCAGGAAATTGTGATTATTTATTAAAATGCCAGTATTTATGATAGTTTGATTCGTGTGCAAGAATCGCAAATCTGGTGATTCTGTATTGTGTCTGTTTGGGCTTTTCTACATGAGTGCAACAGCTTTTAGTACACAATGGCTGAGCTTTACATGTAATTTCATTGGAAAATAATTGAATTGAATTAATATCCCTGACAATAGTCTCTATAAATGCTTCTGCCACGGTTTCATCTGGTGGAATCATACTTGATGTTAATATTCGGATATGAAGGCCTTGACTGTCCCACTGCACCATAAGCTGCTGTTTGTCAGCAAAAATGTCAAGGAAATACAGACTCTGCATTCACAAATTAAATGAATATTAAAATAATTTAATAGCAGGCTGATGAAGCAGCTTGTGCTGTAATAATATCCCTCTGTGCGCCTCTAGTCTTAGGTTACATCTGCTTTCCACTGTTTTTTTCCTGTGTGGTGTCAAATAAAGCGTCTGTTTAAGGGGTCACGTAGTAGCCACAGAGCATTACAACAAAGTTCCCTGTTTAGATTATAGGTTCTGCCTTTACTGTGTATGTAGCATGAGGGGGTTTCTGTGGTCTCGGAGGCATCAGAGACTGTTTGAATGTTCACATGGGCAACAGAAGAGTCTTTTGAGTCTTAATTTTTTATTTGTAGTCCATGAACTTTATCTCTTCTGAGTCACTGTCTATGTCACTGAGTGAAATCCTGCTCACGGATGGGATGGGCCACTTACTTTTGCTCTCACTGATCTATTTAAGACTGTAAGGGATAGCACTGACCTCATCACAGACAACTGACTGGCTGGTTGGTGGATGAGAGAAGCGAATGAGCGGCTCTGCTGGTAGTGAAATAACGTAGCCGGACGGGCGGAGGACGGAGCAGTGAAGGGAGATGTTTCAGTCTGTTCTGTGCAAATCTGCTTTTTATGTTGAGTGCTGTGGATTTCATCATGTAAGCCCACATTCACACTGTAAGGAGCTCAGCTTCAGATTTTTAACCTTGTGTACAGGCTGCCATGTGACCATGAAACTAAGCACCGTAATATAATCCAACATTAACAAAGCTTAGCACTTTTGCCAATTGCATCCGTTTTTAGAGGCTCCTCAGGACCTTTTGATGACGTGTATCATTGAATCATTGAGAAAATGGGACTGAACATCTGCATTAGACAGGTGTTTTCTCTTTCTATGGTTATGTACCTTTCTATTATCTCTTTTACAGCTGGAGGGTATATGTGGTCTGGCATTAGGGAGTGGTGCACATAAATGTCCTCGTCCTTTTCTTTCTCTCTTTCTCATGTCTTTTTCTTCTTGATTTCCCCTTCCCCTCTTCTCTACTTCAGTCTCCACAGGCATCACCACCTCTAAGAAGGCCGCTCCTCCGCCGGTGCCGCCCCGTACGACCTCCAAGCCCTACATCTCTGTGACGGTGCAGAGCAGCACAGAGTCGGCCCAGGACAACTACCTGGACCAGCAGGACCGCAGGTCGGAGGTCAACAGCCAGTCCAGCCACGCTCACAGCAACTCCTCTGACAGCCTTGACAGCACCCGCGCCAACAGCCTGGCCCGGGGTATCACCCGCCCTCCACACATCATCCCCACGCCCATCGCCATCCAGAGAGAGCCAATCGCACCCACCACCTCCAATGCTTCCACTGAGACAAGTGACTCGGTAGTGCAGCATGAATCCCTGAAATCAGGATTAAACAAAGTGAATCTAGTGGCAGAGGAACCCCAACTGGTACCAGTACCCAGACGGAAACTGTCCTCCATTGGCATACAGGTAGGCAATGGGACTGTTGCACTATCCAGGGCTAGTACCGTTGGATCAACAGAGAGCCCTAGATACAGCTGGAGTACAGCTCCACAACGCTTGTTTGGTTTGAATCCAGGAAAAAACGTTTTTTAGCAGTAATGTCTGTGGTGTATGGCTCTGTCTGAGTGTGTCACCTCAAGCCAAAACATGTGCTTGCAAGCTAAAAGGTCTCATTAGGGTGAACGTCCCTCTATCATTAGAGCTGGCTGTACTGTTTTTACAAAATTCCGATTTGTGATCCTCCTAAAGCATAACTCTTTTGTTCTGTTTGTACTGAAATAACAGAACCTCTTCTTCATTTTGCAGACCCTGCACATTAACAGAACTCAGGCAGGGGAACCATTAATCGTGACACTTTTTAATTGAAAACCAAGCACAAAATTATACAGCTTTTCTCCAAATTGTTCTTCTGATGATTTGGTTTATCACCTGGAAAATTAAAGAAGCTGCGCAACTGTACTTGCACTAGCTGGAATTAAAGGCCTGTGAAATCATTCGTGCCAAGATTCTCGAGTCGGGGATTATGTTTTTTTTACATTCCACTCTTTACTTGTTCTCAGGTTGACTGTATTCAGGAAGTTCCACGAGAGGAGACCCCGCCATTGGCCAAATTTCAGTCAATTGGAGTACAGGTGGAGGACGGGTGGCAGTAAGTCCTCTTCCTGTCCTTGTAACAACGTGAGGAATTTACATTATAGCCACACACACTGGTCTGACTATTCCTTCCCTCTACAGAAGCTTTGTAAATGTGAAAACAATGTGAATGTGGTTTTATCTGTGTCTTGTGTTGGTGGTGTTAAGATGGATTCCTGGCATGAGTTGTTACTGTTTAAACTTGTCTCTGCTTATTGTATATTTGAGATGAGTTTCTAAGTTACTGCCGTCTTATTTGCATTCTGTGCTTTTGACGATTTGAATGCCAGGAAGTTCCTCTGGCCTCCTCCTGTATTTATTGGTTTTGCATGCTGCAGTGCATTTAGTGTCTGGTATCTAGCAGCTGTTCTGAGTCCTGACAGATATTTTATCAACACAACCAGCTAAACAAGAGTTCCTCTGTGATATGTTTTTCCTTCCTTGTGTTTTTATCAATGTTGTGCACACATTTTGTGCTGTGACATTCCCTCAGCTGCTTTCCCAGTCCTCCTCTAATATTTCTTTAAAATCCTTCAGTCGGGCCCTCATAATATTTCATCTTCTGAGTTAATTGTAACTTCTCAGCATTTCCAGACAAGAAATGGAAGTAATGTTCAGCCTGTTCTTTCCTTTTGTGATATGAAAACAAGAACCTAGACTCCCGCTGACAAGAGATCAGTTGACACCAGTCCGAGTGCACTATTATCAAAGGCCAGCCTCTGATCGATCCTGTTTATTTATATCTGTATTGACCAGCAGAAGTCGATAATAATTGTTGTGTGTGTGTTTGTTTGTATTTCAGATATTCTTCTTGAATAATTTATTGTTTTCTTTGTCTGCTGTTTTGGATATAACGGTGAACAAAAAAAACCAACTAAATTGGCAAAAGTGTTTCAATTGAAAGGCCCGTGTGTAACGGTGAGTCTCACTCTTTGTTTCAGGCTCAGTCGCTCCAGTAGCATGGCCTCAAAACAAGAAACAGACTCAGACACACAAGACTTCCCTGTCATCTCTTATACCAATAATGCCAAACAATTTGAGAAGAAAGTCATGGTCAACAGTGCCATCCAAGCCATGAGCTCCCCTCCCGGACATGACTATCTAGACAACGGAGACGCTACCGGTGACATCGCTTCACCTCCGCCGCCCAGGCAGTTCCTCAATCGCTCTACCACGCGAATTAGCTCCTCCTCCTTCTCAGAAAGTCTAGACCCGGCGCTGGACCCCTCGTCTCTACCGCCTCCGGACCCTTGGCTGGAGAGTGGGAATGGGAGTAACAGCAGCGTTCCCCAGAGCGGAGGTGGGGGAACGCTGTGTCGGAGAGACGGCCACTGGTTCCTGAAGCTGCTGCAGGCCGAGACAGGACGCATGGAAGGCTGGTGCCAGCAGATGGAGCAGGAGACCAAAGACAACCAGCTCTCAGAGGAGGGTAAGGCTGACCGGGTACTCTTCACCAAACCCAGGTGTTTTTGTCGTACTGCCTCCAAGTTTACAATGCCAGGCGAGGATGTATTGCGAGGCAGTGAGTTGTTCTGCGTAGCTTGCACACTGTGGGGATCATTGCACTATCCAATCCTTTTTTTGTTCCCATACCAAACCATGCAATATTTAGCTGCTAGACATGCAAATATGTTACGGGTATGATCCGTATCTAACTGATAATATTCTTGAGGTGTCCTCTTGGGCTAGCGTAATTAATGTCCATCTACTTTTTAATTTAAATAAAGTTATTTGGCCCAGAAAAAACCCAGAACAAAGCCAGATGTACAGTCAAAGCAGTGCTGAAGTCAAACATGTGCAGGCCCTCTGGATGAACCCTGCACGTCTTGAGCCTCCTTCCAGAGGTCTGCTGCTGTCTGACCTCACCATGTGCTTTATCGGGCTCTGCCTCAGTCACAATCGCTCTGTCAGACATACTCAGCATGGAGGGGATGAGGCGGTAATACCTGGGGTTACCACACACAAGCAGGCCTGTAATCCCCAGAATTACACAAATCTACTCTGGAACTGATTAAACCTCCAGATTAGATCAGCAAGTGAGCACACACACGCACAAATACACACTGTACACATAAACAAACAAACCGTAGGAAGGCTTTGGATGCTCAGTTCAGTGTGTGTGTGTGTGTGTGTGTGTGTGTGTGTGTGTGTGTGTGTGTG